TTTCCATAAATTTTCAATTTTCTTTGACGTTGTACTATAAAAATATTTTCAACAATTATCGATCTTTATTATCAAAGCCCATTAATCTTTAGTCTAAAATTTAATATTGGATAAGACGATTATTTATTACAAAAGAAACAAATGTTTCAAGACGCTTTAAGCAATTAGAAAGGAAAGAGCCAAGTTAAATTACAACTCAACGAGATGTGAATCTGATCATCCCGATCATTCCGACCGTGAAACTGAGACGTTTCAGCTTTTGATTGGCACGTTCATAGCCGAGAATGCTACCATTTTAACGATCGTTCATTTAGTCAGATCATGATAGAGTGCTTTGACGCTAGAGTTAGTCTTGACTGTCTTCCACTGCATCGGGACTCATCGTCAGTGATGCCTCGTATATATGTCGTATCGTCAACAATCTTTTTCCATGGTCTAGGTACAGGCGATTGTGGACCATCACCATAACGTGGACGTTAAGGTGGCGACCAAGGTGAGATTCCAGGAGCCTGGCAGCCAGAATCCGAACGCGGCGATGGACGAGGCGCAGGAGAAATTGGTGCAAGAAACCGAGGCTGGCAAGGAAGGCGAAGCAGACGGTGGCAACGAGGCAATGGAAGATGCCAAAGAAGGCAACGACGAAGAAACGAAGCTGATCGGCGGATCACCCAAACAGGAGAATAAAGAGAATACCGAAAAGGAGGCGAAAGAGAACGAGGAGAAGAAGCCCGAGAGTCCCGAATCCAAGAAACCAACTATTACACCGTACGTATGATTTCGAAAATTTATCATTTATAGCCACAGTAAATGAAATGTTTACCTGATCCTTCTTGAAACATAGAAATACATTCACTAATAATGAGAACCGCGTAACATTAAAATCATGTGAAAAAATAATTGAAGGGGTACCCCTTGGAAAAATCTCGGAAAAATCGAAAATTTTTTTTTGTTGTTTATTATTAGCAATGTTCTTCCGACGTCTGATTTTTTTTTAAAAAATGCGTTTCTAAAGTGCATAAACTTTTTGGATTGACTGTATAGCCAATATATCCTTAACCGCACATCGACTTTCAACTTCACACATAGACTTCCTTGGACGTTATACTGAGGAAAATTTGAACAATTTTGTTCTTACCATTTCCCTAAGGCACTTTAGATTTCCATAAATTTTCAATTTTCTTTGACGTTGTACTATAAAAATATTTTCAACAATTATCGATCTTTATTATCAAAGCCCATTAATCTTTAGTCTAAAATTTAATATTGGATAAGACGATTATTTATTACAAAAGAAACAAATGTTTCAAGACGCTTTAAGCAATTAGAAAGGAAAGAGCCAAGTTAAATTACAACTCAACGAGATGTGAATCTGATCATCCCGATCATTCCGACCGTGAAACTGAGACGTTTCAGCTTTTGATTGGCACGTTCATAGCCGAGAATGCTACCATTTTAACGATCGTTCATTTAGTCAGATCATGATAGAGTGCTTTGACGCTAGAGTTAGTCTTGACTGTCTTCCACTGCATCGGGACTCATCGTCAGTGATGCCTCGTATATATGTCGTATCGTCAACAATCTTTTTCCATGGTCTAGGTACAGGCGATTGTGGACCATCACCATAACGTGGACGTTAAGGTGGCGACCAAGGTGAGATTCCAGGAGCCTGGCAGCCAGAATCCGAACGCGGCGATGGACGAGGCGCAGGAGAAATTGGTGCAAGAAACCGAGGCTGGCAAGGAAGGCGAAGCAGACGGTGGCAACGAGGCAATGGAAGATGCCAAAGAAGGCAACGACGAAGAAACGAAGCTGATCGGCGGATCACCCAAACAGGAGAATAAAGAGAATACCGAAAAGGAGGCGAAAGAGAACGAGGAGAAGAAGCCCGAGAGTCCCGAATCCAAGAAACCAACTATTACACCGTACGTATGATTTCGAAAATTTATCATTTATAGCCACAGTAAATGAAATGTTTACCTGATCCTTCTTGAAACATAGAAATACATTCACTAATAATGAGAACCGCGTAACATTAAAATCATGTGAAAAAATACCTTGTAAAAGGAGAGTAAGGTGTATGAATGTATGTATATTTGTAATATTCAGGGACGAAGGTGACGTAAGGCGTATGCACACTTCCATTAAACTGAACGAGGTGATCGTGAAGAAGAGCAAAAATGCTCAACTAGTTATCCTGAATCTTCCTGGACCACCGAGAGACACCAGAATGGAGCGCGAATCGAATTGTATCCTTTTCGTTATTTCTGATTCTACGAGAATCTAATTATTGATCACTTTTCAGTCTATCTCCATTTTATTCATATAATTTATCGTTTTAAATTCCTTGACTGACCACCCGCAGACATGGAATTCCTCGAAGTGCTCACTGAGGGTCTCGAGAGGGTGCTAATGGTGCGGGGCGGCGGACGGGAGGTGATCACCATCTACTCGTGAACTAGATCAGCCGTCAACGAAGTGATCGCAAGGCGACGGCCGCGATCCAGTTTACTTCGGGAAGACCTAAAAACTGACTCCACCCTAGGGAACACGTTGCTCTTGTGCCATTGTCTGAGCAGTCACTTGCGTTTCGCGTTGTGAGACACACGCCATTCACACATTCGACATGTACACAGTAAACACACTAAACACACGATTACCGAAATGAAGAAGACGAAGAAGAAGAATGACGATCGACGACGCTGTTTCTGCGGATTTAGTTAAAGAAAGAGAAAAAGAAAAAGAAAAAAAAAAAGCGAAGAGAAAATGGAGAAACTTTACCTACTCTAAAACTAAGTCGACCCTCTTTGGTGAAGGCCAAAAGTGACATGCCAAAGGATAAAGATGATTTCCCTCGAATGAATTTCACGCGTAAACTAGGAACTAGTAGGATCTATCTCATTTTACACTCGTATCCCTTTTCCGAGGCTAGAGACTTTAAACGAGAAGAGAACAAATAAAATTGATTTTTACCTGTACGGCCGCGAGACAGTCTGCACAGAGAGCTGCACACGGAGAATGCACTTAACAGATTCCAGTTTTCTGGGGAAACAAGAGCTCCGAGAAAATTCCTTTTCAAAGTTTCAATCCCCCAGCCGACGGAATCCAGGGAACGAAAGTAAAGCGAACTGTAAACGTGGAAGGAATTGGTGCCTCCTACATGAGCAGAAAATAAAAACGAAAATGCGAACTCCTTGAAACTCCGACGGAAGAACTTGTAACCACCCATTTGAAACGGAAATCAAAATTTTTTTGGTCCGAGGCTAAGATCGAAGCATCTACGAAAACCACTGCCAGAATTCTTTCTAAATGCTTCGCGTTTAACCAAAGACGCGAGAGGCTCATTTTTCTACACGCATTGTCGTTAAACATAGAGAGTATATAATTAAATAGGTATGTATGATTCTACTGCTTATATAGGTGAAATTTAGGGTAGCCTAGGGATAGCGCGTGGTTCGATTAACGGGGCGCGGAAATAACGCGCGGCGAAAGTTTGGACGAACGTTGCCAGCGTTGAACGGTTTTATGTGGACGCAGGACGTTGAAAATAATAATAACTATAATAATAATTATAATAAAAGTATATTGTGTCCCCGAGATAGAGAATGGAATCCTAATTAATAAAACTGAAACACGTGAAACGTTATTATAATAAATCTGATAAATCAGGAGCAAACTCATACAATAAGTACATTTGCCAAGAGGAAATAGTGTATAATTTAAGTGTTCATTCAAAATGGATTCATTTTTCAACAATTCGAACAGGAAATGACAGTTATTAAAAACACAATAATTTCTCGCATCGCTTCAGTCGCTGTGGTAAAAAATAATCTCGACCTATATTGACAAAAGTATGTTACTGCCATAACAAGATAAAAAATCCATTTGTCGATTAGGATTGGTACGATGGTAACGGGATCGATACCAAGGGATTAGAAATTTGAGAAGAAGGAGAATGGTAGCGCTAGTGTATCGGGAATAAACTAAACTTTGTATCGCTTGACATCGATATAACGTCAAGAGTCTAATAGCAATACGAGTTTCACTTGAGAGGGCGAGCAAGACATTAACAAAAAATAAATTAAATACACGACTTCGCGTCGCAGTATCGCTGAAACATAGAATCTACCTTACGGTTAAACAATTCTAACGCTAAATGTCCTAAGGAAAGTACGTATAATAAATACATATTCATGCATAAATCGTGAGATCCTCTTCGAGTTACTACGTAATGATTCGCGTTCGTCGTATCGATATAACACGAGAACTAGCAATAGTAGAACTTAAACCATAGAATTCGGATTTCTTAATGTAACGAATTAAAAAGAAAAAAAGAAAAAAAAATATCGTACGCGGAAGTTTTGAGACGCAGGTAGTTGTAGATGGTCATTGCCGACAGAGCGTAAAAGTTTTCACGTGAACTTTGATTTTCATTATGAAATAACTTATGTCGAAGAATGCACAATCAAACAGATAAAATTACTTCAGAGATAGTTCGAGAGATTCGACTAATCCTCGTAAGTATTAAAACCGTTCCGGTTTATCTAAATCCACGGATTTACATTTCGTCAGTAAGACGCGACGAGTTAAACAGCACTCGAAGTTCTGAGGACGAGAACGATCTTTTAACGCCGCGGTATAATCTAAAATAAAATAAAACAAAAAAAATGTTGGCGAAGTCTGCCGATCTAAGTACGCACACAGCATTACTGATATAAATCTCCTTTCATTCTCACGCATCGTTTTATAATAATATAATATATGTATCGCAATAGGTAAAAAATGTCTTTAAAGAAAAGAGAGAAAAAAAGGAAATACATCTCGGCATTGCGTCCCCATAAAGGTTCAAGCCGTAGCGTTTCCAACTGGCGCCGCGAACAAAAAAGACGACGACGACAAATGGGACGAAAAAAGTAAAACACGGCGAGAGCATTTCACGCATTACTCCTTCAGGACTGAACGAATTCCCTTCCGTATTTCCATTAAATTAATATTATACATACGCATGTACTTCTCGACCTGTTGCGCGTCGAAATCTTCGTCTAGATTCGCGTTTGTACTGTCCAAGGCCTACCGGTCCGATTCACCGCTCTAGCGAGTCGTTTAAGGGAAAAATAAGGAAAGAATCGCGATCCCAGAAATCTCGAAAAAGAACCTCGTATGGTTGCCTGCTAAGGATTACGGCAAAAGTGAGTCAACGTTCTTCGGGAGGATAAGTGAACGGCAGTGAAGAAGAATTTTCGTGATAGAAAAGCGGCAGAAGCTTGGGACTTTTACTTGAGGAGAGATTCTATTCGAGAAACGATCGTCACTGTTACTATTGCACTTCCTCCTCTTAAGAATCTTGGTCGAGCCAATGAATGTAAAACAGTCTGAGAAAAGAATAGAAGCAGGTATCTGGCATTAATGGGTTAATCGATTTTCATCGACGGGATAGCGTGTAGCGTTGTAATCGGTCGCATTTAAGTGTCGTGTGTATGTCACGTTTTCATTGCGCGGTCCGAGGCTCCTTCGGCCGCGCCTCATTTTTAGATAGGCACTATCTAATATATATATATAAATATAAATATATACATATATGACGAATAGTTTATCTATAAAAGGAGAGTAGAAGCCGAGACGAACAAAGGACTTCTAAAAGGCAAGAGATGGGAAGAAAGTAATCGTATGGAACGAGTGAATCTTATTGAGCTCGTTTATATGCGCTGTGTCTACTTAATTGAAAATTGCGGACCGCGATTATGGCCCGGGTAAATAGAAGAGAGGTTTATCGAAACGAGAGGAGTCGAGCACTCGGCGAACCTTCGACTGGCTATAATAAACGTCACGAGATTGCACGCGGATCTTCCCTTTTTTTATATGAATCCAGTGTTTGGCTAAGACGTGATTCTTTTATTCCGTTGGAGGCGACAATGTACTTAATATTCATCACTTAACCAATGTAATGGATCACTTCATAAAATGAGTCTGTTAGTAGAACGGAAGATTGACTAGTCAGCTAATGCGGCGGGTTACTACTTACTCTATTATATTCTTTCTCGTAATTTTCTTAACACTTAACGGAATGAAGCAGCTTGCCAGTTGACTTTCACTCATTAGCTAGTGCAAGTTAAAAAATAGTTTAAAATCCTGAGACTCTTTGTCAAGAAGTAACAAGATCGGTCAAAAGCGTGATAAGACGAGATATTATCTTATCTTCTTTATCTACCTCATCGCCAGTACGCGTTGAATCGAGAAAAGGACAGATAGGGGGTGTTTAAAAATGAGAGGGGGAGAGGATCGTTCAACTGTTTCCATCTTAAAAAGAAGGAGGAATTCAGCGAAGTTCGCGAGACGCTCGACTCTATCTCCGTCTATTGTCCACGATGTTGCGATATGTACTTTCTAATTTTAATACGTTAATCACTTGTCGATTACCATATATTTTATGTGTACTTGCCTATCTGATAGGCGTCGACACTGCATAGTTTATATGAGACATGTTGACTATGAGAAAAGTTTATCGCGATAAATGGTCAAACGACAGATGAATATAAAGAAACGAGGAAAGAATGACGAAACTGTTTCAGATAAAACGTTAAAAAAAAAAAAATGTGTTGTACATAAATAGATAGACTTTAAGGGGAGCGAAAGAGGGAGGAGAGAAATGAAAGGAGGAAGATTTGTAAGACACGGTTCAATAGAAAAGGAAGATAAGGGGAGAGACACATCGTTTTCATAGATCAAACAGTATTGCAGTACGTTCTGCTGCCGCTTTAATATTTTACTATGTCATATTTACTTGAAAGAAATGCACAATTCACCATATGGACACGCATACATACTACGTTCACGTAAACGGTAAGACGAGAATGGGACAGAGGAAAGAGAATTAATCAAGATTGATTACAAACAAAACAAAAATATATATATACATATATATACGAGAAAAGAAATATATAAAGATATATATACACCTGCGAGCTTGGCATTTGTCGGGGACTTGACAAAATACAAAAGGAAGAGGAAACAAGGAATCACGTGTAGTCGGCAGCGACCGTGGCCTGTTGCGAACGGGGCTCCTCGCGTTCTGGGTTAAATCACAATATAGGCTGTGAGATGCGAGCTAAAAGCAGCAGATAAAACTTGCTCGAGACCTCAATCATATGTGTCAAATCAAGCGTCAGATACTATATACATACATACGCGTATATTATACTTTTAAACCTTAATATCTCGTTTAAAAAAGAAAAACACAAAAAAATGGAAAACGATACACTGAGTCGAACCCCCTAACGACGAAAACAGAGAGAAATGACGGAAGGAAGAAACCGAGATTTATCCTTGCTCGTGCGGACACTTACTTAGTTTTTCCTCTTCAGACACATCGTACAGACTAAATTGACACACGTATATACACGCGTACATTGCATGCGTACATGCACACACACATACATACGTACATACATGCATACATACATACGTTTAGCATTCAAGTTAAAAGAGAAGAAGAAGAAGAAGAAGAAGAACACTGAAGAGATAGGAGAGCGAGAGAGAAAGTTCGTGTGCGTGTGTGTGTATGTGAGAGCGTTGTGAAAGCGAAAGAGATAACGTTAACTGTTGAAGATAAAACGACAAAAAAGAGATGAGAGATTATAAGAAAAGGAATGCGACGAAATGCGTTGCGAAATATATGTATATATAGATATGCACATATATACGAGTCTAAATATATGTGTATATATGTATATGTATATGGAGAGGAACAAATATGAGATATATTTGTAGATATGAACACTTTAGCTATCTGATTAGCGTATGTAATAGAGTCAATACTGTGAACAAAAAAAAAAATGAATTACCTATAAACTTTATCCCTTATACCCTTTTAGATTATTGTAATTAACTTATGGAAGATGAAATATAACGGATGAAGAAAACTATATCTGCGATCAGATCGATTAAATAAATAAACGACATACACTTAACTGATCTCTGGCTTACGATTTCTTTAATCTTCCCAGATTACCTCTATACTTTACATCTGGTTGATAAATAAGTTCGTTGTTTTTTATTTCGGCGCAGTTTCATTCCGAACTGCATTTGACGATCTTATTTTATTAGCAGCAAGTGTTATATAGACTTCAGGTTGATTTGTTTCGTTAAAAATATTTGCTTGATATCGTAACGTTTGTCAAATATGCACAGAAACTGATCGTGTAGGATATTAACATAACAATTACATTTAAAAGTTGTTATTCAGCTGATCCAGTTACTCAAATAAATGACATCACTATGTATATACTTATCTAAATATACATATCTGTATATTTGTACATGTATATGTAAATATGTATAGAAAGAAATAAGTATGAAATATGTATGTAGATATGAATACTTTAGCCACCTGATTGGCAGATGTAACAGAGTCAATGTTTTGAACAAGAAAAATGAATTACCTATAAACTTTATTTTTATATTACGCATTTAGTTCATTTTAATTAACTTATGGTGGAGGAGAAAAG